TGACCTCTACCGCAAGGAGACCTGGGATCATCTTCGAGCTCTACGCTGCCGACATCGTCCTCGACGTCTTTGGTTTTCGCTGCCTTGTACGTTTTGGTGCCCTTGGACTTCGCTCAACTATGCTGGCCCTGAACGTCAACAACTTCTTGAAGATCATCGACGACGTGAACGACGAGTTCTTTGGCATGTTCATGAGTTTCTGTCTGAGGCCTTAGCTGAGGACCCTGACATACTGGTCTACTATGAATGGCCTCACCCTTGCTTTGGTTGGAAACAGAAACCCCTTCTTGCCATACAAGCTCTTTTTGAACAACATGGGCAAGAATGGAATGACTGCCGCATAGATGGCTGTCGATACGGCATGGTGGACTCCAACAACGAGTTCCTCAAGAAGAAGTGGATGATCAAAACAAATGATGAACTTTTTCATGGCCAATATCGATGCAAAGTTTGTACTGGTGGTCATTGTCATGGCCGAATTGAAGGGCGCGAGACTCAAAAGTCAAGCTACTACCCTTGGAAGATGGTTCAATCGTTTGCTCGTTTTTGGGCACAACAAACGGTTTCAAAACAACAACTGCAACGTATGAACTTCCATGATGTGGCAACTGTGGAAGACTGTGATGGTGGTGATCTACTTGCACAAGATGAAGAACCACCTGGCGATCACTCAATGCCGAGCTCTTTGCCTGGCGATGCAATTGTTGCTGCGAACCCTGCTGATGCACCATCAGCTGCTGAACGTGAACGATGGCAAGCCAAACTGAACCACTTCCACCGTTCTTCTGGACACTGCTCCAGCAGAAACTTGGCTCGCATCGTCAAAGATGCCAACCTGGAGAGCTGGAAAGTGCGTGCTGCCCTGGACTTCACTTGTCCAATTTGTGAAGGTCTACGACCTGGTGGCTCTTCAAGTGGGAATGTGCCGCCCGCTGCAACCCATGCGCAGTATGGCCCCTGGCAAGCTTTGGGCTTAGATGCTTCTGAATGGGCCGTGCCTGGCCACAATGTGAAGGTCAAGTTCCTTCTGCTCATCGACTTTGCCACGCGGCTGAGAATGGCAGTTCCTCTCATGGAGCCCTATCCAATCACAGCCTTGCGCACTGAAAGCTCTGCTCAGGTGATTGAAGCTGTTGCGAAAAGCTGGCTGGGAACCTACCCCAAGCCTGAGATCATCATACCTGACAATGGAATGGGTTTTTCGGCCAAGGAGTTTGCTGATTTTTGCAGAGACCAAAACATTGAGCTTTGTTTGCCTGCAGAAAAAGAACCTTGGGCTCATGGTTTGGTCGAAAATGCAATGCGGGAGCTCAAGCACACCGCTTCTGCGATACAGATGGACAACTTGGCCCAGGACCCAACTGTGACACTAGCTCTTGCGGCATCAGCCTTGAACTCAACCGAGTTTGTTGCTGGCTTCAGTTCTCATCAATGGGCATTTGGCCGAGCATATACCATCAGCGAAGAAGATCGTAGGCTTTTTGCTCAACTTGGAGAACGTGCCTCTTTTGCTTCAATGGTTGCTGCAAGACAGCGCGCTGAGGATGTTGCAACAAGAACTCGAGCTCAACGTGTTCTCACCAGATTGAACAACAGCAAGGCGAGACAACCTCTACGGCATTTTCAAATTGCTGATTTGGTGAAAGTTTGGAGAAAGATTTTGCCCAGCGATGCCTACAAAGGACCTCGAGGTGGAATGAAGCGCACCAGTCGACCTGGCTGGATAGGCCCCGGTAGGGTGGTCTTCACTGAGCTTCTTCCACACCAAGACAAAGATGATCCTCGACGTCATATCGTTTGGGTACTTCTCCAAGGCAAGCTCTTCAAATGTAGCGTCCACAGTGTGCGCCCTGTCACACCAGTGGAAAGATTTCATCATGATGTTCACAATCGCGAAGATGTCTCCAAGATGAAGACTCTCTCTGACCTTGTGCCGAACCGAGAGTTTGTGGACATCACGGATGAGATTCCTGATGAAAATGAAGCAGAACTACCTCTACTACCACAGTCACCTGATGACACGACAGTCATCCCTGCCATGAGAATTTGGGGCAAAAAGGGTCTTTCTCAACATGACTGGAAGACGATCCATCGATCGTCGCCACTTGGACTTGGCGTACCTGACCCGGCACCGCTCCCTGGATTTGGAAGTGCTGTTGGTCAACGGTCACCTGGACTTGACCGTCCGTCCTCTTCCCAACCTGCTGGTCTGGACTTACCAGCTGAGGACATTCCAGTCAACAACTATGACTCAGATGCCAAAACTGAGTACGAGCCAGAATCTCCGGTTCGTGAACCTCCGGAAGAACCACACCCTGATGCTCCTGATGTCAAGCGTGTCAAGATCAACAACTATGATCTCAAATGGGTTGAACAACTTGAGCAAGATGCTGCCCAAGAAGCTGGTGAATTTGATGTTTTCTCAGCTCTTCAAGAAACTGAAGAGGCCTTCACTATCAGCTTTGACATTGACGTGGAGACCCACCGTCAAAGAAAGGCCTTGGAACGAAATCCCGTCCTCTTCCTCACCAAGAAAATGAACAATGCCGAAGTTCAGTTGACCAAGCTGACAGCTGAACATCGCGAGCTCTTCACCAGAGCAAAGACCAAGGAGGTGGACAGTTTCTTGAAGAACCAGGCAGTTCGAAAGTGTCTCAACAATGAAGAGATCAGGCGTGCCGTTGATTCAAACCGAATCATACGTGCCCGCTGGGTTTTGACATGGAAACAAACGGCTCCAGATGAAATTGAATCAGCCAAGAAGGAAGCGCAAGAAGATCCCAAAACAGTTTTGACCAAAGATGGCGCCAAAAAGGCCAAGGCGCGAATTGTTTTGCTGGGTTTCCAACACCCATCGCTGCTTGACCGTTCTTTCAAGACAGCTGCTCCTGTGCAAAGCATGGTTGGTCGAAACCTCCTTTACCTTCTTGCCACCCATCATCAATGGCAGATTCATGGTTTGGATTTAGCGACAGCGTTTTTGCAAACTCAGCCAACAGAGGCTGACCAGGAGATTTGGACAACTGGCGTAGCAGAACTGAGGACAGCTCTTGGTTTGTCCGATTCCGGTATCATGCGGATCCTCCGAAACATATATGGCTCCACCACAGCTCCAAGAGGTCTTTGGCTTGACCTGCACAAGAAGCTGGTTGGTTTAGGCGCTGTGCCTATCCTTGGTGAAAGATGCTTGTGGGGATGGTTTTCATCAACCGAGAAGGATGAGACCGGCAAGTTCCCAAAACTACTTGGTGCCATTGGAGGTCATGTAGATGATTTTCATGTTGTTGGAGATACAAAAAGCGAAGAATGGCAAGTTATTTTCAACAAAGTTTTGTCTGCATACCGCTGGGGAACTTCCAAACAAGGTTCCTACCGACATGCTGGAACTGACATCCAGACTGTCACTCAGAAGAATGGAGAGTTTTCAATCCGCGTCAACCAGGATGCATACATTGAGACCGTGATGGACGTCTCAATTGAGCCAGAACGTTGGAGCCAACAAGGTCCACTCACCAAAAGTGAAATTGCTGCCTGCCGCACAGCTTTAGGTGCACTGCAATGGCTGGCCATACAGACACAGCCTCAACTTTGTGCACGTTGCAATTTGCTTTTAACTGAAGTTGTGACAAATGGTACAATTGAAACTGCACGAGAGATTCAACAAATGGTTTCAGAAGTTCGTGCAGATCCTCATTGCCTTGAGTTTTTCAAACTGCCAGGTACTCGCAAATGGACTGATGTGGTTTTCGTTTCCATGGGCGATCAATCACATGCCAATCGTCCTCAAGGAGACTCCACAGGTGGTTTGCTGACCTTAGCTGCTGGACCTGATGTTTCGTCTGGCAAGGTGGTCTTGATGAACCTTCTAGCCTGGCGAAGCTGGAAGCTCAAGCGCAAGGCAATTGGTAGCAATGATGCTGAAGTTCAAAGCATTCTTGAAGCAGAAGATCAGAACTTTAGAGTCAGAATGCTATGGAGTGAACTTCATGGTGCAGGACTTGATCGACCTGAACGACGTGCTGACTTGGTGGAATCAGCAGAGAACCAAGCATGTATGGTAGCTGGAATTCTTTGCACAGACTCGAGAGGTGGCTATGATGCCATTGAAGTGAACGAGTCACCGCTGCTTGGACTTTCAAACATGCGTGCAGCTCTTCAAGCCTTCCAGCTGCGTGACAACCTGAAGAGGGTGAACTGCGATCTGAGATGGGTTGCTTCAGATTACGACCTTGCTGATGCCTTCACCAAGAAACGAGGCGACAGCAGAGTTGGTCTTTTGAAATTTCTGAAGAGCCGACACTGGTCGGTAGCCTATGATCCGAATTTCATAGCTGCCAAAAGAAATAGGAAGATTGGCAAGACGGCGATCCAGAAGGTCGACGATGCCTTGGGCGACGCTTCGGTGCCTTTGACTGCCAATGGATCCTTTGAGCACTACGCAGAGCATGCGCTCGCAATCAGTGCTGGCCTTCATTCAGATCGAGCCCTTCAGCGTGAGCTCGCAATTAATGCTTATGATCTTTTTCATGGCGACTTGCATGAGCTCGCAATCACTGCTGGATCACCAGAAGTTCAGGTCGGATCGTTTTTAGGTTTCTCTCCTGAGCACAGTACAGAGACTCAACGCCTGAGCCCTTTTTGTACTGGTGCAACTGCCATCAGACTTGTCAGGTCGTTGAGTCATGGAGAACACCAACTGCTCCTTGGCTCAGGAGGGGCCCCTTTTTAGTGTGCCGTCCAATGCTGCCAATGGCGATTCCCTGACCTCTGGTGTCAGTGAAAAACCAGTGCTGTGTGCGCTTCTTCTGCGAGTGGTGGTGGCTGAGACTATTTCCTTTTCAACAACTGCGTGAGGCAAGTGAGTTGGGATTGGAGGGGTCAATAGCCCAATACGATCCGCTGTGCTCCCGCTACAGTATCCCCATGGATGAGATGGAAACCTCCAGAAACATCCAGCCGCCCCCTTTGGGGCGACCTTTAAACTAAACTCTCCAGGCGGCTAGGTGATATCTCGCCACAGCTTCTGCACCCACAATGTCATCCAGTTCCAGTTCTTTCCATAGCTCCTGCCGGATGGTCATGATGGTCATGATCCATATTGATCCATGGAGTAATGGTGATTTATGATGATAATTCATAAAGAACTGACTTATCTTGGAGGATCATCCCAATCTTCAGCTTTAAGCACCCAAATGTCATATTGTTGTATGTATATATATATATATATATGTGTCCCACTAAAAAACCCATGAAATATCACCATAAAGTGATTGGTATCCCATGAGATATATCCCCAAATATCTTCAGACGGCTGCCGCAGAGAATATCGCGGTCCTCCAACTTTGGGTAGAGTGCTCCTCCGTGGTCCCAAAAAATGCGTGGAGCGTCAACAAGAAAAACTAGTTCAAACTGTGCCCGGTCCGTAGCTATCCGGCTGCCATACTGCCATCCACATCACTTCAACAACTCGATTCATGGAGAAAATATGGAGGCCATCAACATCACTGGGCACCATCTTGCTGGCACAGGGTTGATTGAAGGACCCGACCAGCGAAGTTTCTACCACTTCTCCGACAGCGGAGAACTGGGGTTTTGCACAAGAATCGGATGGGAAAGTGGTGAGTTTTTTGACCTCAATCGCAAATTATAATCTGTCCAAAACTTGAAAGTAACTTTGGGATGGTTTCCTCCTGATAAACATCGTGAGGTTGGAAAATGTTTCATGCGCCTTGCGATCCGTCACTTTGGAAAAAGGTCACCATCTCCAGCGGGGAAAAAGGCAAACTGATGTCATGGTCATCAACGTATCTTTAGAAGGGATCAAAAAATCCACCCCTGTGACAAATATGCTGAATCTGATAAGAACACCAACTTATCTTCATAAGGGATGATGATGATGATGATGATGCTGATGCTTCAAAAATATCCTGAATTTGAACAACTGGAGGCTTTCCCAGCCTCACGCTCTGATGATCTTCATGGTTTTCTTCATCCCATCCAGAAAGGAAGCCCGAAATCTAGGGTCCCCCAAAAAAAATGGGAAGGTGTCCCATTTTAACACTCAGATGTCCCCGGTTGGATTTGATCCAGATTTTCCATGATTTTCCACCATGGTGGCCCGGGTGGGAAGGGATTTTGATGATGACTTTTCGAGACATGGCATCGGGAGACTCAGAGTATGTATCGAAATGGTTTAGAACTTGATTTTCAAAAAACGGATACCCCATCCACTCGCTGATCATTTTCCCTGAAAAAATGGCAATCAATTGGGGTGTATACGTTGGAAAAACCCTATCCATTACTTGATGTTAATGGTATCTCACCATGAACCGCTCCTCGTCCCACGAAATCGAAGTACATGAAACCAGCTGGCAGCACTCCGTTCAAACCTCTGCAGACGTGCATGCAATTTTTCGCAACTGGTATCTATAACCGTATCACCCATTTGTATGTAGGTGCACTTATGTGCATCTACATTCATAATATATATATATATATATACTGTATGCATATTGTAATCATGGTCTTATCATTATGTGTATATATATATATTGATACATTGGTATTCTCATGATCATTGTCAGTATCATCACAATTATGATTATCACACTCATGATCATTGTCCTCATCATGATCATCATCGTAATTGTGATCGGAGAAGCAAAATCCTAATAAGATGATGTTATATAAATAGGGGTGGTAAATAGGGGTTCTATCTTTTTCAGGCCGACTCTAGTGGTGGGCAGTTCACCTGGGCTTTGCAGGTAGAGTAACTAAGGACATTTTCAGGGTGAACGGTGTTGGTTAGTTCTATCCCACTATACATGTATGTCTTCCATTGCAGCCATAGTATAGCCACAAAACAGTAGATCGGTTTTTGAAAACTTGCCCTGTTCGTTCCCGAAATTATCCTTGTGATTCGCAGGTTCGATTGCCCCCGAAAGTGCTCAAAATGGATTGGACAGACCTTTCACCAAGCGTACCCAGCCTCACCCTACAAACACTGGTACGGGTCAAAAGTATTGGGATTAATGTGGGTAAAACAATGTCATAAACCACCCGTGACTGGGAATGGTAACCATACCACCTATAAAAATGGTGATGACTGGGGGATGGTTTATGGCATTGTTTTACCCACATTATGCCAATTGAGCAATGTTCAAAACCCTCTCTTGTCCGTTATACTGCCTGGTTAGTATAAGGATTCACATTATGATAATTCCTAATATATTGGGTAGTACAATCCCCGAACTAATCATTCAATCAACACGTTTGAACGCACTTCAAGTAAAGGGTTTAACACTACGAATGACCATTTGGTGGGTCCAGTCATACGCCATGTTTGACCAATTTTTCACCCAGAGACGTGCCATGGAATTGCAACTGTCAGAGCAAATCACTTGCCAGCTGGGTCCCAACCTGAACTGCTTCAGATTTATCATGTAGCCCTGAAAGCTTGAGGTCTTAATTGGGTTTGGTTCCTGAAAGCCATGGGAAAACCCTCAGGCTCTGGTGGTTTTAAGTATCCTTTCAAAGTGCCATTCATTCATAGCCTGTCTCAGACATACCCGAGAAAGATGGGAGTTCAACAAGAAATTTTGGCAAAATTACCATGGTTTTACCGTCATGGTCAGCGCATGATCACAGAGAAATTTCTGGATTGAACCACCCAGGGACCTCCTTGGAAAACTGGATATCGGATTTTCGGGGATTGTCAGTCAAATATGGGGGATCTGAGCCAAACAAAGAAGTTGATATGATCCAAACAAACTTCATATACCACTGACATCAAAACGCGTTCAGCGACTGAAGTTGGCCAGGCAAATGAGTTCACTATCCCATATGCTCCATGGTGCTGGTATATTTACCTACAAAACTGGGCCATTTGTTGGGTAAATGTAGGTCAATATTCCATACATGGAGCATATATATGGCTATTTGGGTACCAGGGTTTTCTTGAAATCCAAAAAAATGACGTTAGCACGCTGTTGGAATCATCCGATTTTTCGCCGGAGCGATCAGATACCAACCAAAGCAGCCGGAGGAAAGTAAGAAAAGATCTGCTGAAACTGCCAAACAGTGACATGCCCTCCAATGCCATGATGTTCACAAAGTCCTTCAGCATACCTTGGTCAAAACGCGCTCAAAACGCTTATTGCTGAACTGTGTTGAAACAAAAGGCACAAGGAAACCGCATGAAACAAGATATCCCAAGTGAAACAAACGCCGCACCCAAAGTTCCAGTTGGGCTACCAGGCTGTCTTCCCAAATTGCCACCGTGATCCCATCCGGCAGTCGGCATCCAAGATACTTTGGCTGAGAAAAAGCAGTAGGACTCGGGGTCCCTCTCGTTTCACCTCCCGCGCAACCCGCGTGGCCTCCTGTTGATCAAAGGCATCCATGTACTGCAGCGGCTGACCTGCGGGCGGCTGACACGCTGCTGGAAGGGCTGGGTTACCCAACACCGGGATGGAAAAAAAACGTGATTTGAAGCTTTTGATCACCAATGCATCACAATACTTTTTCTAGCATCAACTGACTGCAACCGACAGGCTCTGGCAAGCACATACAGGAAGGGAAGAAAGCTCCAAACACGCAAAGCCAGAAAAAGGGTCATGTAATAACAACCAAAGGTATTGTGGAAAAACATCTATAGTCTATATTCCTAGAAACCTTGGTTAAAAAGTTCAGACAACTGCATCTGCAGTCAGGGTCAAAGCCCGGCGAAATTTGGAAAGAGTTCTCAGAGAATATGGACACCTACACAAGTAGCATATGGCCAATTGGATTTGTCCGAACATTTCGGGGAGAAGCCCCAAATCTAATGGTTAATCACCGGTTCCCTAGTAAAGATGCCATTTAAGGGAGAATACTTACCCGATTTTCAGACAAACCCAATTACCACTAAACCATCCACCCACTGTGTTTGGGCTCTAGTAGCACCCCACTTCCCGAAGTAAGGTCCTTTATGTAGATTCCTTGGGTATCCACACTGGACACTGCCCCAGCCTTCAAGTAAATCGGGCTTCCCAGCTTGTTGTTGCAAGACCCTAATGCTCTCCCACATCTCTTCTCCGTAACTCTCTGTGCCTCAGAATGCTCTTTGCATTCCATGTTTATGCTAAAATTGGGAAGAAAATGGCACCAATCCAACACGTATGTGAAAGGAAAATGCGCAGGAAACCAACAAAAATACTGAAGAAAAAAAAACACGAGTTCAACGAATAAGGAAAAAAAACGATAAAACTAGTAAATCCAGTAATTATGCAGTGCCCTCATCCTCATCATCATCATCATCATCATCCATTAATAACCATTAAATACCATTAATAACCATTAATAACAATAACCATTAATAACCATTGATAACCATCATCATCATCATCATCATTCTCAGACCACCAATTCAATTGTGGCCACATGTTGTCGCCGGGGTGCGGGATTCCCGGAAAGATTCACACAAAATGCCATTGCATGAAAATGGTGGCATTGCTGGGAATTCAGAGAATTGATTCATTCTTTCAGATGGATTAGGGCTCTCAAAATTAGGATTCTCCCGCAACATCAATTGAAATTTAGTCCGTGCATTCAAAAAAGAAGTATCCAGGATCCATTTCAAAATCCAATCAGGTGTAAAAAAGCCAAGCCAGAAGAAATTTTGTTGATGAATTTCCTATCAAAGAGGATGGTTTCCAGCAGAATGGGCATCCCCCCAAAGTGATGTCAGTGGGTTTATAAACCATGAAATAAGCCCCATGAATACTATAGTTATATCATGTTATATCTACCATAAAGCCACTGATCAGGCAACTTAGCTAAGACTTAGCTATCTTTTCTTCCCCATCCTGAGCCATGTCTGATGACAATTTCGGGTAATTTGTGATGCCGCCGCCGGGAATTGTCATATCCTCCCGAAACGCCGCCGGGTGTATCGATCTGTAAGTGCTATGGCTATGAAACCAGAGTTCCTTAAGGTGAAATGTCACACTTTAGTCACTAAGAAAATCGAATTTATGGAGGGTCGTGATGATTTTTGAACCAATCCGATGTGTATTTCTTCAAGGATTTTACCCTCTGGTTATTTAACATAGCCATGGAAAATGGCCCATTTATATGGTCAACGGTTGGTGGTGCAATGTGCCCATCTCGAAAAATTTGGGAGTTACCCAACCTGGTTATGACTAACAGTTCGCCATGGAAGCCATGGCCCATAGAAATAGATGGTTTACCCAGCTATAAAATGGGTGGATCTTTCCATGGCGAACTGTTAAATAACCAGCTGGTAGTCAATGGGAAGGATGACATCCCATATATGGAAAATAAATAAAACATGTTTGACACCGCCAACCAGTTGGACTGTTGGAAATCCCCAGTGTTTCTTTGGAACGCCAGCCACTACGCTCAATGCCAGCCATCCATGGTGCTATAAATCGCAGTCGCTCTTGGCACCTGGTTCAGGTGTCATGGCCAATACTGCGTTAGGTAAAGGTTTGATCTCAAATAAGATCTTAACATATTGTATAATATAGAATGACAGAAACAGGAACATGGAAAATAGAATGCAAAATATAAAATAGAAATAGATCAAATTATATTATATCATATATCATATTATATCATATTATATCATATTATATCATATTATATCATATTATATCATATTATATCATATTATATCATATTATATTATATTATATTTTATTATATTATATTTTATTATATTTTATTATATTATATTATAGTGATATTAATATTCATATTATATTACATTACATTTTATTATATTATATTATATTAAATTATATTATATATATATATCATATTATATTATATTATATATAATTAACACATAAGATATACAATATATAGCATATATCAATTATAGATGTATATATATATCATACCTATTATATAATACAAAATTGGTTGTTCAAATGTAGATGATAACCCAATAAGTACTGCGACAAAAAATGTGAAATCAAATAGTAAAACTACAATGCAGTATATATACATATACATATACATGTACATATACATATACATGTGCATATAAATATACATATATATATATGATCTGTCTAACAGAATGGCTGTTGCAAAAAATAGATTGTAGAATCAAAAATCACATTTTATGTTGTTTGAAAAAAATAAACTGTTAGAAAACAATGTATAGAATGCACTAAGTAAATATCCAAAATATGAAAACTGAGAATTCAAAATGTAATATACAATATATTGCAAAAAAATGTAGGGACCGTATACAATATGTTTTATTTTTGGCTATATACAATGTGTATATATATATACATATACATACATACACAATGTATGATCTATGTATTTATACATGTATATATATATTATATATATATACGTTATAGATAGAAAAATAAACAGACTCTGTTGGGAAAATAGCCAATTACTGGCTGTGGACTTGGGCAACTCGCAATATTTCCAAATCGGAATTTTTGGCCCATGCTCGGAGCATTTCCACTACTCATCATCAACGATCAAGCCATGTAGCCATCCACTCTGGAACTGGGGAATATGGGGAATCAGACAAGCCTGGGGGGCATTTACATCCTTATGCAACCCTTTATACAACTTGTGCCACAAGATAAGTCCTGATGCATTCCATGTGCCGATAAGAAACGGGGGAAGGCTTTGGAATGTTCTGAGGGCGTGAATTGGTGCCAACTCTGTCAAGTTTGCCATGATGACACGTTGGACACACTTCACACATGCCTTTAACCCAGCAGTGCTCCTTTTAACCCAGAAGCGTTCTATGAAAATCATACGTCCATATTTTTGCATGTGCACAGATATCCGCGGAAATTGAATGTTGAGGATTGCTATTTCATGCGGTTTCTGTACTTCCATGTCCTGTCACATGAGCTGCCTATGTTTTGCTAACTTCTGTCAGTTTCCAGGTTCGTGCCTCCTCATTTTTCATCAAGCACGTTTTGAACTTAGCTGGACATACAATAAGGTATAACTTACGTACATGTGGCGCAACTAACGTACAATTTTGATAACTCTTAGCGCTTCTTAAGACACATACAGGCGACTACAATAGGGTTATAGCATGGTTATAGCAGCTTACAAGCCACTCACAAGTCATTGCAACTGAAGCAAGTAAAAACGGCTCACCAAGTGGGAATTTCATTCTGGAGCCCCAACGGATTCCAATGGATATCCAAGCTGTGAAAATCAGATTTTTCCTCAGCAAAACTTCTGGGCGAAGGGCCGCGAGAACGGTGTGCAACATGGCAAACCACAGGCACCAAAGGCTTCCCACCTTTGCACCGCAAGACCCACTTGCCTGAAACTCTTCGATCCATTGCCAGAGTGCTTTGGCTTGCAGGTTGTCCTGAGAAATCCTCCCATCTGGGCAAATTCCTCGAATTCCTATGCTGGAATTCTTAATCATTTTTGGGTTTAGATATGATGTAAAGCATCATAAGCATCATCAACACTCCATTTTTTTACTGACTATCCATCTAGCAACAACCCCCGAAAGCAATGCAGACTTTAGCAATATAAACTCCAAAATGCTAGTGATAACTTTAATCTGTTCTGAATCTGTTTAGACCTTGCTACACTGGAAGTCTGCAGTTTTTCTCTCAAAGAAAACACGTTGGAGCCGGTGAGATCTTCTCTTAACCAACAAAAAATGCGATTTTTGAATCCAACACAAATAGTTTTTAAAAAAAAAGGTACCAGTAACAATAATGCCGGTTTACTATCATGATTCATCTACAACATCATGTGGCTTTTTTGCGCCCTAAAACTGGGTATCAACCGATGCGCAAAGCCAGTTCCATCGTACCATATTTGGCGCTGAACACATTTGATTTACAGTAACCCCATTTGAAACCTTGAAATGGAAGATTTGAATCCTTGCGAAGCTATCATGATAAATGATAAATGACCGATGGATACATCCAAATACCACTTCACATCCAACCCTTCATATTAACCACTGTCGACCATATGCTATTCTCTACCAGGTTCAATACCCTCCGGTAATCAAACGTGGCAATGGAAAATCCACCATTTATGATGTTCCCATTTAAGATTAGGGGCTTGTCCAGCCAGCCAAGTTGGATTACCGGAAAAGTCTAAGTTTTGTTCCACGGTTACGACGGTAAGCTACCCACCATTCATGTCATTCATGGTGACCATTGCCATCAAAAATCATAAAATTACACAAACTCCAAGAGGCCGGTGGCAAGGTTCGCAGGAAGAAGGGATACGAGGCCTTGTTGGATAATGCCGCACTGGTGGCTGAGAACGAGATCTGCGGCACGCCTTGAGCGGCCGCCACCTGAGCCGCGGCGGCTTTTTTGGGATGGCCGGACTCAGTTACAGGATGGGGCCCCCCAGTGATGTTAGTTGGTTTATAAACCATGAATTAATCCCCATTAACTATAGTTATATCATGTTATATCTACCATAAACCATAGTTTTTTCGCCACTTATAAACCAACTGAACGCTATCTTGGGGGCCCCATCCTGTATGGTAGAAAATCATGTTAGTTCATGCAGGTGCGGTTGGAAATAAGTTACAAATTCACAACTCAACTGGAACTCAGTGGAAAGTGATTGGAACCCAATGCATGCCCCAAATGCTTGGGGCTGGGACCCAACCTACAACCAACTGATAACGTTGGCAAGGGCCCATCACTGTAGCATTTCAAATTTATTGTCATATGTTTCTCTTGTTGCATATCTATCTTTATCTATATCTAGTCTATCTCCATATTTATATCTATCTCCATATCTATATCTATCTTCATATCTATATCTCTCTCTCCATAACTATATGTATATACATGTAATATAGGTAGACAGAAACGTAGGCGTTCTCTAATTTTTTATGTCTGCAACATGATGATGTGCCAGGAATCTGGGGAGGATCTCCTTCACTGCAGGAGTGAAGTGTACGTTGTCTACAAATGGGGGATGTTTCTGGCAATTGACTATGGAAAATGATGATTTCATTTGTACCACTATGGAAATCCCCCATTTGCCAGAAATTTGTACCTATGGAAAATGAAATCCACCTATGGAAATCCCCCTATGTTTCAAATCCCATGAAATCACTATGGAAAATGATGATGAATGATCGGATTTGAGATGATTTGAGGATACCCTGGTTGGTGGTTTTAACCATCCTGAAAAATATTAGTCAATGGGAAGGATGACATCCCATATATTATGGAAAATAAAAAATGTTTGAAACCACCAACCAGATACCTGTCGGTAGACATCGCCCCTTTTTTGTTTGACCGGGAAGCCTCCGAGACTCACAGGAACATTGCCTTCGACAATTGCCAAGTTTACCCTACGACAATGTAACATGGTGACATGGCAATGGGAAATATGTGGTAAAAGGAGATATTCATACAATGTGGGGCCCCCCAGTTATAAGTTGGTTTATAAACCCCCATAACTATAGTTATAAGTACCATAAACCATAGTTATTGGAGTTATAAACCAACTTAGCTATCTTGGGGGCCCCACATTGTAGGAAACTTTAGAAACATCCCATGAAAACCAACCACCCTGTGAGTCAATGATGGGGCGAATCTAAAACCAACGACTCACAGTGTCACATTGCCAACGACAATTTAGCCAAGTTTACCCGGTTTACCCTACGACAATGTAACATGGCAATGGGAAATATGTGGTAAATATGTAGTATTTCATAGAAAATCTAGAAATGGGTGTAGTTTCCACTGCCAAGCCCCTTGCTTTTCCCATGATGACATCATGATGATTTCTATTTCAATCCCATTGAATCCCATTCTGGTTGCTGAAAAAAATTGGCCACACACAATACATATGAGTGATTCCTACTTTGATGGTCAAGTAATATTAAGCATACCATTATTTCCATTCATCCCATTGACTCCCTCATTTCCAAAACTTACTTAATCCCATTTAATTCCATTGAATTCTATTGAAACCCATTAACCCTCTGGTAAACTGTTACATAACTATGGGCCAAATCACCATTTTTCATGGGTAAATCCACTATTTCGACTGGGCCGTGTTCAATAGCTTTTTGTATGTTTACCAGGCCGGGTAACCCATCATGAAAATCTGGGTAAATTTCCAAATATTTAACACTAACCTGAATAGTTCGGCCAATATCTATATTAATTTGACGTCCTCACGAAAGTGGGAATATGTTTGGAAATCTAAAACCCATTACCCTCTGGTAAACTAACATAGCTATGGAAAATAACCCATTTATAGATGGTTTACCTATTAAAAATGGTGATTTTTCAGTTCGCTATGTTAGTTTACCAGAGGGTAACCCATCATTAACCCATTTTGGGCATCCCATCCTTCCCCCCTTCCCCCCAAAATTCATCTCCACGTCACCGAAGCAATGGGCGTGCTCACGGATGAGGTGCTCGCCCCAATGAGTCCAGCCACCGGTAAAAAACCTGCGCGACTTTTGCGGGATATTCATAGTTGAAAGTTTATATTGATATTAGTTGAAATAAATGTGATATACATATAGTTTGTATGTTTAAAACATTTATCTAATATATTTATAGTTGAAAGTTTATACAATGTGGGGCCCCCCAGTTATAAGTTGGTTTATAAACCCCCATAACTATAGTTATAAGTACCATAAACCATAGTGAAATTGGAGTTATAAACCAACTTAGCTATCTTGGGGGCCCCACATTGTACCATCTGATTATGACTAACATAGCGAACTGGAAAATCCCTGAACTAAATGGAGGTTGGTGTCGCTGGGAAAATCATCTGTTTCAATGGGCCATGGCTTCCATAGCTATGTTAAATAGCCAGAGGGTATGATAATAGTTGAAATATTAGTTGCTATATATAATATATATATATATATGGACAATACTTGATACAATAAAATGGGACAATATTATTCGTGAAAAAAATGATGGTTAGAAATGGAAAATAATTGTTGGAACTGGGAACTTAATTGTACACTAATTCATTGACATGGGAAAACAATAAAAATTAATACACGTAAGAATAACAGTTAACAGTTGGTATGACTACTATTAACTCTTAGAAATGGGATATTCATGGGAAAACTTCAATGGTATTGATGGGAAAGGTCGTTGAATTGGATATTCATGGGAAAATCATGGTTTAGAAAATTTATTCTAATGGGATTGTGGGATTGATTTAGAAAATTAATATTAATAACCAGGTTTTGAAAATTGATTAGAGATTAGTATTGAAATTTCAAAAATGCTGATCCAAGCCACAAAAATAAGGTGATATTATATATGAAAATATATGAACTATGTATCCTTCGGCAATCAAACATGGATAGCTGGGAAGTTCCATTGCCATGTTTGACGACCATTGGGAGTATCTGAGAATGAAATCAGGATAGACTGCCATGAATGATGCTTTTGATGACGATTGATTCGGAATCTTGGAGCCAGAAAGACATTTTTTCTGACTCCAAAATTTGCCGCAAAAAGAATCCACCAATGGGTTACATAAATGACATTTAAATGACATTTAATCCATTATACACCAAAATGTAACTCCATTTATGTTTTTTAATGGTGTTACATAAATGACATTCCACCAATGGGCTTCTGCAGTGAGAATCCACCAATGGGTTTCTGCAACCAGCAGGCCTCTTTATCAACCAGCAGGGACCCAGTGGCCCCTGTTCGATTGAACTTTCTTGCGGGGTTCCATCCTACTGATTGCACGTCGCAATGGATGTTGAATGCCCTATAAAGGATTATAAAGGGAAGATAGAACGCACGAACTTCGAACTTGAGATTTTAAAGCCCAAAATCTTTCAGACATGCAAAAAACACAAGAGAAAACTAGAGGACATCCTATTATACACCGATAGAACAACGATAACTGCCGATAACGTTCACATCTGCAGACTACAAATTGGAACATCCATTAATCATGGCTAGTAATCTCAGACACCTGCAAAAGACTCATCAAAAAAGATGAATTTTTATTTGGGTACGAGATTCCTTTGGCAAAAGATTGAACCATTAATCATCCAGGGTTTCCAAAGGGAAATCGCAAGCTCTACCATGCAAGTGCTTGAAAACGACGAAGAAAAGGAATTCATCCAGGTATGTCTGTGTACAAAACAAGTGAACCAATGTTTGTATGGATGATACCCTCTGGTTATTTCACATATAGCCATGGAAGCCATGGCCCATAGAAATGGATTATTTTCCCAGCAACATCAACCTCCATTTATAAGGGATTTTCCATGGCAAAGCGTTAAATAACCAGATGGTATCATCCAAAAAAACACAACAAACATGGGATGGGAAAAACTCTTCCCAATGTTTTTTGGATCATCCAAGGTACCATTGAGACCCAGCATCATTTCAATCGCAGTGGAAATTCCGACCGTTCTCTGCGCATGGGTCGTCCCAATCCATAAACCAACCTTGGCACAGAGAACATCAGAGAACTGGAACACTATTTTACATGGCTGGGCAACCATCAGGTTATGACTAACACTTCGCCATGGAAAGATCCACCCATGCTATTAATAGGCAAACCATCTATTTCGATTAGGGCCATCGACATACCATGGCGAACTGTTAGTCATTACCAGAGAAGAACCTCATTCAACCTGCCGGTGCTTTGTAGGGAATTGGTGGATGGGATGATTGTTGTGATGGATCATTCCCCCAGGGGCCCCTACGTTTCGCACCAGTAAGTCAAGTGGCAAACCAAACTCATTGAGATCCCTCATTGTGGGACAAAAAACACAAGCCACCCTCAAACGTCTGGCAGGATGACTGTCACTATTCCTGAACACAATCATCCTCCTGCCTCACCTCTTTCAGGCTCCAATTCTTCTTGGTTTGAAAAGTCGATCGTAGCACTGTTGCGCATCAAATTAAAATAAGCTACATCATCATTTGCAAGACCACTTGATAAACAATCCCAATCCTTCTAGTTCTGATGCAAACACCTCCGAACTTCCCAAAAAAAAAACATTAGGTATTTACCAAAGATATCAGAGAGTCTCAATGATGGGGCAAGTTTTTCCTCCCAACTTCCCCATAAAAACACTAACCTCGTTTCGGCTTTGGCAGCTGTGGTGAGGTTCGCATGGATATCACCCAGGTTCACAATCGGAGGTCCAAACCTCGCGATGGATCCATAGCGTGTGAATATTATGTATATACAGTTGGATATATGAACAAATAGATAGCTAGATAGATGGAAAGGTAGAGATTGGCAGAACGGTCGATAGATCGATAGATTAATGTTTTGATTTAAGTTGATTTAGTTTGATAGAGTGATAGATTCAGGTAGATAGATGGATAGGTTCAGCTACATGTATACATACATTACATAACATAACATTGCATTGCATTACATTATGTCACATTGCATTATGTTTCATTGCATTAATTACATACATACGTATGAACATCCATGTAGGATGTATATATGCATATGTATATGTGTCCGACCATCCCATCAATATACGAATGTATGTATAATGGGTTTATAGATAGGTATAAATACGATAGTAGGTGTACATATATATATGTGTGTATAGTACATGCAGGACAGAAGTAAATGTCAGGCGCCTCCTACGTAGTGTAACATCATGTGCTTCTAGTAGGCACGTGAAATCCCACCACTCCGGAACTCATGTCGCCCAGTTTCTTTAAAGATGTTTTATAGATTCAATGTAAACTTAAACATAGATCTTATTAACTCAATAGTGTGTTTTCGATCTATATCACTCTTTGATCCAGGTGTTCTTCTGTTTGTTCCATTTATATATATATATACACAATTCCTTTGTCTTTCGCTTTTCACAAAAAAAAAAAGAAAAGGACCAAACAAAAAAGGTGGAAACTCCCCCTCCGGTCCCCCCTGTTGTCCCGGTCCCCGGCCGGGCGGCCTGTCTCGGACAGGCGCCTCGAAGTTTCTACGGAAATCCAAATTGGCCGCCACCAACGCGATCAGCAGATCGGGTTCGAAGGCAGTCCACGCACCCAGCGCACCCAAGGTGATCGGAACATCATGGGCCACGGCCAACACCTCCCGCAGTTCCCGCTGGGGCTGACTAAGTGACTAGGGCAACACCCACAAAAAATATACAGATTGTTTAACTGATCACTGATGGAGTAGGATGTTGGTGTGAATTTACTGATCGATTTGTTGGCCTTGCCTATGGATTTCATTCATAGAATTTGGATCCGGCAACTGCGGAAGTTTGAGCGTGTCTTTGTTCCCATTTCGACGGAGAGATAGGGTTCTTTGGCTTCGTTTTGGGCTAAGAGAAACCACTCCATCTGGGTTCGTCTTGGATCTGACATGTTAACCTAGGGCTGAGTTAGAATCATGGTCAACATCAGTTATCCACCACCCAAAAACCCAAAAAAAAAACACTTTTGTTCACGGGAAAACCATCTACCAGTCACCACTAAAACTCTAGCCATGATCCCCATAAGGCTTAGGATTTTTCAGCCCTTCCGCATCAACTGGCGGGTCCCCTGGCTCACCTCGAAGCACCAAAGAATCAGCAAGGCCACACAGCGCATGGAGCGTAGCGAGGAGTTCTTCGGATGATCCCTGCCGTGACCTTCCCTAGGTTGCTCTGGTTGAAGGTAAGAGCTTGATTGGATCAAAAGAAACCTGATGTCCTGTAGGTCTTCCCCTAACCCAATCCATTGACTCATGGTAGGTCTGGTAGAGGCCCAGTTGCAATTATTTTAAGATATTTTAAGTACAGTATATGTAGTTCTATTTTTGTTTGTGCACATTGTAATAGTCACACCAATCCAGCAGTGCTGGAGGCCACGTGCAGCCTGTTCGATTTGGCGCAGTATGATCATCTCGAGAGCCCCCAACAAATATGGTTCTGACTTTTCAAAGCATCCAAAAGCATCCAAAAACATTAGTTGATTTACTATCATTCATAAACTTGACATTTTTTTAACTGCTTTAGGCGACCAAAACAGTCTTTCCCAAGGCGACCTGGTCATACCATCCCAACGGGGGTCTGTCAACTGACTCAAAGCGCGCGCATACCACTGCCGTTTCGAAATTTGAATAACTGAGTAAGCATGTCAACCCTGGATTTTGCTAAACAATGGTTTATTAATTAGGGGGGTACCCCTCCAATAGTCATAATATGATACTTAAATGAAGTTGACATTAAGCATGTCAGGATTCCACACATATTGGCACCGTGTCAAAGGCACGTTCTGAGAAATACAGCATGCCATGCTTGGATGTGGGAAGGAATCGGAAGTCCTGTCAACATCCTTTTCGCGCATGTTCACGCAACGTAAGAGCAGCTGAAGCTATTTGGGCAGTGTTCAAAATCCTTTGTCATTTCACTACTGGTAGGTTTATAGCTGTTCCCATCATCTATGACGAGAGTCACCAGTATATAAAGGGGTAATATAATCCCTAAGATCCTCAACCAACAAGGGTTTTGAACACGTCTCAAGTGATACTGATATAACCAAATCAAGTATCTAATTTGTTTTGGTATCTGCTCATTGGCAGCTACCGTTCTACCTCGATGTTTTTCCGTCCCTTGGTCGACAATCGGCAGCACGTTTCCGCCACTGCCTAAGCACTGACTTCGTGCAGAATTCTCCCTTAAAACAGCTTTTCATTGTAAGATGGGGTGGACACCCACAATTCTCATGAATTGGTTCTAATTTCATTATTGTGTGATATTGTATGTTACAATGTACTGTGTGGACAATATCTATATCTATATCTATATCTATATCTACATCAATATCTATAGTTATAGTTGTATCTATATCTACATTTATATTTATATTATATAAAGAATTATATAACATATATCTCGCATATACCATCATCTTTCTGATGTTCCAAACAAACCTAAATGGATTGACTAGTTTTAGTATCTTGGGGCGCCAAGATGCTGGGGAGATCCTAAGTCATGGGGTTCCCCCAAATTATCATCCAAGTTATTGGCCATAGAAAGTTCGTTGATTTACCCGACTATAACATGGTGATTTTCCTTATGTCAAGTTACCGGAGGGCACCCCAATCTTGAGAAAACACCGTTCGAAAAAGGTCGACAAACAATTAACAATCAAAAACAACCATACCCATTCCCAGTCCCTGTGGAAGGTTGACAAAAAATGTGCACTTCAAAACCCTGAAACCATCCAATTTGATTTCATGCAAGATTTTGGTTCCAAGTCTACCAGTCACCTCTGTGTTGGGTGGTTCAAATCCAACAGCAACATTATCCCAGGGCGATGTTGAAACTCTGGTGGGGTCAGGCAACCAGCCATGATCACTGGTCGCCTGTTGAAGGGATAATTCTACAGGCAGGTGTAGGGGTACATATGTTCACCTGGTTTGTTTGCAGATCGGGTGTGCCCCTTAAATGGTTCATCCAATTGGGAAAAGGATGACTCACCAGCCCATGGATTTGATTGATTTGCAGGGTTTTTCCCACATGTTTTACAAAACATCCACTGGTCAAGTTGCAAAAGACCGTGCCCAGCCGCCACACCGGGAAACGCCATCGATCACAATCCTTTCGATCACAATCCTTTCTGCCTTCTCCTTAGCAACCAGGGGAAACGAGTTCACTGGAAGAGTTGCCACCGCTTTTGGGCCGGGGAAACGTCGCGTTTCGCCAAAAAAAACAGTGCATTGCAATCCAAGTGGAGAATTCACCCGCAACAAAACCATCCATGATGGTTCTTGTGAACTTTGAACTGAGTAACTGCTGGGTTGTTTCTTGACTTTTCAAAAGATCTCGATACAAGAACCTCCCAAGAGCCTCCCACAAGAGCTTTCATACAAGCACCTCTAAGACATCGCATCTGCAAGCTTTTCGCATAAGGACCTTTTAGAAAAGATTTTCCAAAACACCACCGAGACACCACGGACACAACCCAGACACCACCGAGACACCAAGGACGCCACTAAGACACCACCAAGACCCCATCGAGAGGCCACCGAGACACCACCACCGAGACATCGTCGAGACACCACCGAGACAGGACCGAGACACCACCAAGACATCACCAAGAGACCACCGAGACACCACCGAGACACCACCGAGAAACCACCGAGTCACCACCGCGACACCACCGAGACACCCCCGAGACACCCGAGACCCCACACCACCGAGACACCGCCCAGGCCCGCAGCCGTAAACCCGACGGCGCCCATCCGCCTTTAGAGTTAACAACCCCAAGCTATCGCTATTGGGGAAAAAAAACTGGAAACGATAGTAAACTCTGTTCTTTCCAAAACCGAACATTGTTGCTTCTGCAACACAAGCAACCACTGTGCATCCCCAATAGCTCTCCCTGGTCATACATAGATACAGTAAATAGATTTAACCAAAACAAACATGAATAGTAGCTTCAAAAACCAACACAACAAACAAGCGCAAAAGGCCTTTGCAAAGAGTGCAGCATTGCTTCAAGAATGTACAAACGACATCTCTACAGGGGTTTCCCTCAACATATGCAATCGTTATTTTAGGAAATGTGCAGTCGAAACAGGCACCAATCCATGCAATATGTTCTCTATAAATAATGAAGGGAAAAATAGGTTTGCAAACAACACTTGTAAATTAACTTTAAAGAACACCATTCCTCAATGTATGCAACAACCCTTTGCAAAAAGTGTGGCGCTGTTTTGAAAGATAAGTAACAATTTTAAAATGTGCACTTTCAACAGGCACCAATTCATGTCTATAAATAATGAGGGAAAATAATTACTTCAGCAAAGTGCACCACCAATTCTACAGCAGACAATTCCTTTTAAAAAATGCATGTGTTTGTCTAAGAAATCATGCAGCGTATACAATGGGCCTATCCATTCCATTTCAAGGCATCAACATAAGTCAACAGGGCGCAATATTCGTACAATACACTCTTCCATCAAAAAACGTACAACATCGTTATACTCTTCACACATTGCTCCGTCGAAAAGAATTTAGCATTCCTTTGAATAAACAGCTGCCCTTCAACACAGTACAAAACTCAGAACCATGTTGCTTTGAAATCACATTTGAATCAATATTCGATGTTTTTCGAACTGCCTGAAATGTTTGTATGTCCTGTCATTGTTAGGCACGATACATTCTGAGAACCACACGTGATCTTGTGGTGCACCCAATTGCCAGGGATCCTGAGCCAACAGTGAAAAGGAAACAGGAAACAGAAAACAGGATCCATGCCGATTCCTCGACCAGTTCGGGGTCATCGGCCCACCGACCAGCCGGAGCTGGCCATGGCGCCGGTGGCGGCACCTGATCCTGAAAAAAAACAGAATGAGGTTGCGCGCGGGATGAATACAGCCTGGGCCTGGACTGGGCGCAATTGCCCCCAGAAAGCTCGCTCAACGACCTCGCGCTCAAAATGTACCTGCCAAAAAAACAGTAACCTCGTTCCTTAATTAATGCATTCTCCTCGCAAGGGCGCATAGGAGAGTCTGTACAAGGCAGCAACGTCGTCCAGCTCGATGCATGGCTCCAGCCAGTATAGCTGGAGCAGGAAGAGGAGTGCGAGATCCTCCTGCCAGACTCCCTGCCCGTCCCTCTCAGTTCCTGATGCCTCTTCCTCCGAATGAGCTCGTAAAGAGCCAGATGTCAAGAACTCACCAGGACGAAGTTGACGTTTCCTCAGGAAAATTGTCTTCGTCCAGGAGAGTGTAGCGGTGAAGGATGTTTCTGAGAATGAACTCTCGACGCTGAATGCTCAATCTGCAAGAAGTGGACTTCACTGGCATATCATGGGGATCATCTGGATTTGTTCAAAATCTGGCTTGCAAAACTGGCAAATATATATATATATATAGCATATATATATATACATATATACATATATATATATACATATATATATATATACATATATATATATAGCATATAAATTCATTTATGTCTCTATATCGGCGTTTATTTGACAGCAACAGGACCATGCTCCTGATAAGTTTCTTCCGAAGAAGGTACTTGGATTTTTTGGTGAATATACATAATATAATGGATGCATATAATTAACTGAATGGGGTATACAACATTGCAAAACAAACTTGATCTGATATTTGGGTGTGTCTGAAAACGGGAGACAGCACCAAACAAGGCATTGACCAAAAAACTGTTTGGTCTGCACGTTTGCTGGTCAGGATTCAGGGTCACACCCCCAAAAGTTAAGTTATCACACAACATACATAATTATTGCTGCCTCGATTGTTCCAGCTATGTACATATATATATATATATACAAGATGTTTGAAAAAAACACTATATCTATCTATCTCTCTACCTATCTATCTATCGGTTCTATATGTATGTATCCGCCGCCCCCTGCCAAGCCCTCGCCTGGACGGCGTAGCGCCTCCGATCCCCGGACGCCTTCCACTCCCACCACCTGCCCGCCACCGTATCCAACCTTCCCGCCTGTTTCGCACCTGCCTGCCACCTGCAAAATACAACAGACCCACTTGCCCAGCCTGCGGCTGTTTCTTTTCACATCTCCCATCTCCTCTCTGGCCGCTTTGGTTCTGCAATGCACCTGCGCGCCTCTTTCGCAACTGCCCACACCTGCCAGTCTCTCACGGCCGCACCTGCCCACCCTTCTATACACGTCCTTTTTAAAACTAAGCGTCCCACCCTACCTGCTCCGCCGTCTCCATGCCCTCTTCACGGGTTCCACGCTACCAAGTGCTACCCTTGCTTCTACACGACCCTACCCGACTTCCTAACAGTGTCGGAACAGCCGTTTGTTACCTTTGGTTCCGAAGCACCCTGCCTGCCTGCCCGACCTTGCAAGGGTCTTGCGCTGTAACTTGCCGCCATTGGTTTTACAGGCCGCGCCTGACCACACTACCTCAAGCCTTCGAAGAGTCCCCTGTTGTTTCCCGCTTTCTTCTGCACCACCCTACCTGCCAAGCCTTGTCAAACATCTTTTCGGGGGGTCGGCGGCACCAGGGCGTCAGCCCACCGTAGTCA